GTTGTCTCCTGTTTCTTCTTCTTAATCAGTTGGCTGGTTCCTTTTTTATTCTTCTTTTATTCTTCTTTCCTTCTTCTTTCCTTCTTCTTTCATTCTGATTATTTCTCCTTCCCTTGGATACCCGTTTTCTTTTCCACTGTTTGTTTTTTCTGGCATGTTTGGCATATTTTCCTTGGCAGACACCTTTGAAGCCAGTAAGTTGCATTTCTTCAAACAAACCAGGATTATCTCCCGAAGCTGGCTACAGATGTTGCATTTAACTAGCTTTTTTTTTTTCCCGCTCTGGGCTTAAGTAATTAAAAAGAATAATGATAATTCTGAACGAACCCAGGTTTACTTGCAAGGCAAAAAAAAAAGAAGAACCTTAAAACTTAGCACAGGTGGAGAAAAATAAAATTCACCACGTCTCTGTTTTTTGTTTTTTCCACAATTCTTTCTCTGCCATGTATAATCTGTAAAGGGAATTGCAGAGAGGCGTGTTTTGGGGGGAAAACGTACAGTTTTTCCTCCTGATCTCAGCAAAAACTTTGAAACTAAGGGAGTAGAGAGAGACTCCTGTGATATATAAAGCGTCGAGGATTTTTGGGGTCACCCGAGGCTGAACAGAACACCCAACATCTGGAGCAAAAGGCCCAGCTGTTTTACCACAAAGTAGTCCTGGACGTAGCACCACAATTGAATCCTGGGTATAAGTTGCTAAGCGAGACATTTCTTAAGTGCGTTTTGCCCCGTTCTACGACCTGTCTCTTGCCATGGTTCTTAAGCGAATCGCCGCCACGGCGGCTAAATGAGTCCCATGCTTCTTAAGCAAATCGGGCTTGTCCGCTGACTTTCCAGAAGGTCATAAAAGAAGAAACTGCGTCCTAAATACGAGTCGGTTGCCCAGCGTCTGAATTTGGAGCACAGATGCGTGGGGATGTTGTGTGAAAACAGTTGTCGGCCACTTTTTTAAAGAGCGGTTGAAACGTCGGTCACTAAATGAACTGTTGTAAGTCTACCGTGTTTCCCCCGAAAATAAGACTGACTTTTATATTAATGTTTGCTCCAAAAGATGCATTAGGGCTTAATTTCTGGTTAGGTCTTATTTTCAGGGAAAGACGGGGTCTAAATGCATCTGTCTGGCCGACAACCTTAACTGGGTTTTATTTTTAGGGTAGGGCTTATATTACGAGCATGCTGCAAAATCGTGTTAGGACTTAATTCTCCAGTTGGGTCTTATTTTCAGGGAAACAGGGTAGGATTATCAGTCTTCTGGGTGGGAATTTGATCCTGGGCTATAGAATTCTAATTTTTTTCTTTCTTATCCCCTTCTTTAAAAACAACTTCAGAAAAGAACCACCTGGGTGGTTGGTGGAGGGAGGTGTGTGTTTGTGTGTTGAGAGAGACAGTTGTGTTCCTGGGAGAGACAGACATTCCAGCTTGTTTTTGCTGCTGTCAGCGTGGGAGAAGTTAGTTGGCAGCAAATTTGAGGCCTGCTTAAACCCACACCAGAAGGACTGCGGGAAGAGCTAGCCAGCCACTCCCGCTACCTCTCTAGGGAGGGGTTGACAGGTAAAAAAGAAACAACTCCCCAAACAATTTGCTTCCCGTTGCACAATGTCGGTCCTTTCCCTGCACCGAGAAATCTAGTCTCTTAGGGAAAGGTGGCTTCCGCTCTCGTCTTTTCCTTGCAAAAACCAACTTCTTGGATAGATTTGCTTTTTGAAACTGTATATATGTTGAGTTTGCAAGGTGAGAGGGGAGGCTTTCTCTCCCTGAGAGACTAGATTTCTAGGTGCAGGGAAGGGACGTTTATTTTGCAAAAGGGTGCAAATATGTGTGGTTTTTTTTAAAAAAAATTAGGCGCATTGATTCATGGCTCAAAGGCTCAAAAGCAGCGTGCAAATCGAATGCAAACCTGAAAATGTTCGAATAAAAGCCTACGGAAGGGAGGATGCAAACGTTAAACCAGAATCATCGTTCAAAATGATACAATAGGAACATTAAAAGCATGCCATGGGATGCAAACATTAAAATAGAAGCATAGTTCCAAACCACAGAAGAGAAACATTAAAATAAAAGCATGCCATGGGATGCAAACATTAAAATAGAAACACCATTCCAAACAACAGAATGCAAAGTTAAACTACATTGTTATCCGATGCAAAAAAAGATATTTTTGGTGACAATGTTGTTTTTCCTCTCCAGAAAACAATAACCAGTAAAACACACTTTTTCAGTTTTAATGCCTGTGGCCAAACAGCAATTTTATTCATTCCTTCCATTTCTACAATGCCACGATCCCAACTTTAATTACAATTGTTTTCCCCAGATATTTTTTTTTTTTAAAGCCTGCCGTGGTTTCGAATCTCCATCACTGGGAAATATAATAATCCTCCAGAAAATATTTGCAATTGTACGTCTACGTGGCAGTCCGTATTGCACTTGTAAAGTTTACAAGCCCCATTTATAATTCTGATCCTCCCCCCCCCCAAAAAAAGCTGTATCCTAAGAAATATTCTTGCACCCCCAAATTCCTTTTGGGGGATGCATGAGAAAAAGGGCGTAAATTTGTACATGGTTTTTCTACCCGAAAAGGGTAGTCAAGAGGTATCCCACTTTTCAAGTCTGCTTATTTGCTGTGAAGGTTGGGATCTGGTTTCAGAAGTTGTAAGAGTGACATTTGCTAGACGTTTTGCAGAGTGGGTGTGTGTGTGTGTGTGTGTGTGTGTGTGTGTGTGTGTGTGTGAGAGAGAGAGAGAGAGAGAGAGAGAGAATGGAGGGTGTATGTGCAAACCATAATCCTTCCTACTCTGGATATACAAGGGAGCATCAGAAATCAACTTTTCAGCCTTGAAACTTTTCACTCTCCTAAAAATGTCAGTTGCCAAAGGAAATTTATGGGGTGCATCTTAAGGTTTTTTTGGGATGGGTGGGGAAGCAATATTTGACACTGTCCATTTGGATTCCAGATTTTGGGGTGCTGTTTGGCCACTCTGGTTCCAGAAATGTGAGTTTTAACCACAGCAAATCTGGCGTATCTTTCCCAAATTAACCCCAATTGGGTAAAAGTGGTTTTACGTTTGTTAACGTCCCACAAACACCTATCACAACTGGTGATGACACAACCCCTCCCAAAATAATATCACACAGACATCCCCCCCCCCATCACAACTGATGACACAACCCCTCCAAATTGACTTAAAAGACAGATGGAGGATTAAAATATTTAATCCTCTTTAAGATGGGATGAAACCAACATGGATCAAAATGAGACCAGGAGAGTTCAATGATACTGTTTTTGATAATACAGATGTTTCTTGAGTTACGACCGGCATCGATTCGAGGTTACGACGTCGCTGAAGAAAGGGACTTGCAGATGTCCTGATCCTCAAAAGTTTGATAATATTTTCCGATAAGCCATTTGGGGTAAACCGAAAGAGAAAATTGGGGAAAATTTTAAACCTGTAAACCATGGTTTAAGGTAGCCAACATACACTTCAGGAGGGGCTTCCTGGTTGCATTTACCTGTGAAAATCCTGTGGTTTTTTTTTTTTTAATTCTTTCTCTCTAGAGAATCAAATCCACAGTCTCCATTTATATTTACAGTGGCTTTTCAAACTTAAGCTGCCTTTGCAAGATTGCACATGTTGTGGCTTTGAAAACACGACGTATTTTGGATTGCACCTCTCCTTTTAACACCGGCCCCGAATTTGATATTTGGGGATAGATGACGGGGCCTGGATTTCTCAAATCGGGAAGGGGAGAGGTCGAAAGTGTGTCTCAGAGGCAAAACATCCCCGATGCCAGATCGGTTCTCACGTCTTCCTCCTCCTCCTCCATTGGAAAGCGATCTCGTTTCTTTGCTGGCGTTGTGGACTTCGCTTCGCGGTTGCAAAATCCCGTCCATTGAGTTGGTGTTTAATCTCAGCTTGGGCTGCTTGCAGGTTGACTCACTGAGGTCTTGTGACGACAGGGATGGTTTTAAACGTGGGGAAGATGTTAGAAACCTTTTGTGGAAGGAAGGAAGGGAGGGAGGAAGGAAGGAAGGGAGGGAGGGAGGGAGGAAGGAAGGAAGGAAGGAAGGAAAGAGAAAGGGAGGGAGGAGAAAGGAAAGGAAGGAAGGAAGGAAGGGAAAAGGAAAGGGGAAGAGGGAGGGGAGAAGGAAGAAAGGCTGGAAGGAAAAGAGGAAGGAAGGAAGATGAAAGAGGAAGGAAGGAAAGAAAGAAAGGAGGGAAGGAAGGAAAGAAAGAGAAAGGAAGGAAGGAAAGAAAGAGAAAGGGAGGGAGGAGGAAGCAAGGAAAGAAAGAGGAAGGAAGAAGGGAAAAGGAGAGGGAAAGAGGGAGGGGAGAAGGAAGAAAGGCTGGAAGGAAAAGAGAAAGGGAAGGAAGGAAGGAGAAAGAGAGGAAGGAAGGAAAGGAAGGAGGGAAGGAAAGAGGAAGGAAGGAAGGGAGGAAGAAGCAAGGAAAGAAAGAAGGAAGGAAGAAGGGAAAAGGAGAGGGAAAGAGGGAGGGGAGAAGTAAGAAAGGCTGGAAGGAAAAGAGAAAGGGAAGGAAGGAAAGGAAGGAAGGAAGGAAGGAAGGAAAGAAACACTTAATAACCTCATCAAAATCGACCACCGACTCTCACAACAGTTACTGCCGCGTCCCCAGGGGCCACACAATCCCCTTTTGCGACCTTCGACGAGCAAAGACTCACTTAACGACCGGGTGGCTCCCCTTAAACCTCTGCAGTGATTTGCTTAACGACTACAGCCAGAAAGGTCACAAAATGGGGAGCTAAACTCCTGGGGCAAGCCAACCATCGTAAATGCGAGTCAGGATGCCACCAAGGTCGTAAGCCTGAGAAAAACAATCCCAGGGCCCTTCCCCCCCGCCCCCAGTGCCGTTGTAAATTTGGAACGGCCACTGAACGGAACACCGTTGCAATGCGAGGATGATCTGTATTAAAAGTCGCATTAAAAACGGCTCCGAAATTCTCGCTCGGCATCCAGAAGAGCGGCTTAAAATCTTTTCGTCTTCACAACATCGAAACCGGGTCAGTCAGTGGCGTTTCTAATTACTTTAGCGGCGGCCTCCGTCTCTTTTTAATGACATCTCCACCCTGACGGGCCAGCTTCTGCTGAATTGTGTTTCTTGCACAACTGTGTTTGTGCATCCTTTCTTCAAAGCCGGCGTGACAATTCCTGGGCCACACCAAAAATACTAGGCTGGGAAGTCATGTGTTGTTATTTATTATTATTATTATTATTATTACTATTACTATTATTATTGCTGTTGTTGTTATTGTTGTTATTATTATTATTTCCCCCAGGCTAATCTGACCAATTTAGCCAAGTAGGTCCTTGATGTGCGACCTTCCAAAGTTTCCGTCGCTAAGCCAGACAGTTGTTAAGTGACTCCCTGTATGAATCACTGCTCTGCCATTTAGAGGCAAGAGTAGATAATTTGGGGAGACTACCTGTTGCTTCCCTGCTCTGTTCTTTTATTTTTAAATAAGTTTTGTATTTTTCAGTTTCAAAAATACAAACGTTTCACTTTTTTCTCAAGCCGTGTGTCATTTCGGCATAAAATGTGCCACCTCCCTTCACCATTCACATTGATATTATTTCTCCAAACCTGGAGTTAAGGTACATCAAACGGCTCAACATTATACAACTCTTCTCATTCCATCTCATTATTCTCACCCTACATATATTAACAGTTATCATCTGATTTATATCCTTATCCCAATTTATTTTCTATTCTCCTTTATTCTTCTCCGTTTCCAAATAAATGCCTTTGGCTGCTCCGTTCTTCTTACAAGAGGAATCTGGATTTCTTTTTATCAGTCCAGTGACCGACCTTATTCGAAGCTGTTTCTCATTTCCACTTCCAGGTTCTTCAATTCGGACGGAGGGTACACTATTCAGGTGTCCATCAACGACTACTTGGATATTTACTGTCCCCATTATCAACGGGCGTTGGTCCTTGGAAAGCCGGAATCCTTCACGTTGCTTATGGTCAACGCCGAAGGTTACCGAGGTTGCTACGAAACGCCGGGAGCCTTCAAACGGTGGGAGTGCAACCGTCCGTATGCCGCCTACGGGGCCGTCCGATTCTCTGAGAAAATCCAGAGGTTTACCCCATTCTCACTGGGCATAGAATTCCAGAGCGGCCGGGAATATTACTATATATGTAAGTTAAAGAGTTTTCAATTTATTTAATACCTAAGTTTATGAATAAACTTGTAAAATATGGGTTTAAAGGGGAGGAGAGAAAAAAGAATAGCAAAATGACAGAATATCAGAGCTGGAATTAAAAATTAAAATTACTAAAATTATTAAAAGTTTAATGGGATTAAAGAGTTAAACCCCTTCCTTCCTTCCTCTTTCTTTCCTTCCCTCCTTCCTTCAAGGTTGTCTAGTCCAACCCCAAAGAAAGGAGGGAGGGGAGGAAAGGAGAGGAGAGGAGAGGAGAGGAAAGGAAAGGAAAGGAAAAGAGAGGAAAGGAGAGGAGAGGAAAGGAAAGGAAAGGAAAAGAGAGGAAAGGAGAGGAAAGGAAAGGAAAGGAAAGGAAAGGAAAGGAAAGGAAAGGAAAGGAAAGGAAAAGAGAGGAGAGGAAAGGAGAGGAAAGGAAAGGAAAGGAAAAGAGAGGAGAGGAAAGGAAAGGAAAGGAAAGGAAAGGAAAGGAAAGGAAAGGAAAGGAAAGGAAAGAAAAAAGAATAGCAAAATAACAGAATATCTGAGCTGGAAGGGACCTTGGAGGTCGTCTAGCCCAACCCCAAGGAAGGGAGGAGAGGAGAATTAAACCAAGTTAAATTATGGTTTAAAGTTAGCAGGATTAACGCAATTACGGAACATTTCTTTTATTCTTCCCTGGAGTCTTGACAGCTGTCCTGAACTCCAGGTGACATATAAAGGATAAATCCGCTATCCCTTTTAGCCCGGCAACAACAAACAACAACCCTGCAGGGTAGGTTGGGTTCAGAAACCAGGATTTGATCCCTAAAGCACACCGCTTGGATGCTAGCTTAGTTTTTAATCTGTCTTCAGCCCGGGTTTTCTGTTTCTCCGGTGGCAAAACCTGCCCGATTTGGAATGCATCGTATTCCGTCTTTGCGCTTCTGATCAAAATGTTGCCCCTGTCTTCCTGATTTGCCGTGCTCGATTAAAAATGTAAAATAATAATAATAATAAAAAGAAAAACAGATACACGCCGAGAACGTCACGGTTCTGAAGCCCGGCGTCGGCCTTTTTGGATGGGTTTATTGAAATAAACACGCCTGTTACGAGAACTCGGTTTGCCTCTCCCTCCGCCTGCGTGGAAATTCACAAAATGAGGAAGGGGACGTAAAAATGGTCATCGCTGCAACCTGCATTTTCTATGCCCTCCAAATGCCACGAGACGAGACGCATTCAAAGTTGGCATGGGGCATTTTTGTAAGCAATGCATATATATAAGCTGGATACCCACGTGCTTCGTTATGAAATTATGTGGCGGGGCTTAGTTTTTGAGGAGGAAAATAAGGGGGGGGGTGGAAATTCTACCTCTGCCTGCCAGCATCCATTGGTATTCATCTGGGTAGCATCCTCTCGGTGTGTGAGAGATTTGAGGGCTGTTTGGAAACTGAAAGAGTATTTGCTGTGTGAACAAGGAGACAGCGAGGAGCCTGGGCGTGGCTTAGCTCAACTGTTCTGGACTAAAGCTGCTTGGTGCTTTGAAACTAAAACTCCTCTGCTGGTGTTTTGCATTTGGAAGAGATTTCTTTCCAGGTGGGGAGGGGGAGTAGAACTCCTTAGCGAAGAAGAAGAAGAAGAAGAAGAAGAAGAAGAAGAAGAAGAAGAAGAAGAAGAAGAAAGAGGAGG